CTCATGGAGTCACAAACGGGAATAAAGATTACACAAATTGAAAGTTTTTCGTGATCTTCGATCGGCCCATTCTCAAAATCCTTTCTCCGTTCCTTCTCTCATTCCGTTTGTTCCTTGCCGAACCCGTAATTCCTCGGTCCATTCCAGATTATGATCTTTGCAATTGGTGAAAATGTAATCTTTATTCCCGTTTATGACAGCGTGGAGGCCTAAAATACGGTAACCAATCAGAAATGGATTCACATTAACATGACTCTCAGTATAAAGGGACTCTAAGCGCTACCGGCTACATGCTTCGCTTACCAGGGTTACCTGTTTAATATCTTGCCAATTTTGCTCCCTTTCATGGGCAGAAAATCACAATGACTGTGAAATGGACCGCGTCTAGCAAAAAGGAACCAAGCCACATCAGCTATTGCCAAATTAAACTGGATAATTTCATTTTTTTACGAGAGAACGTTTGTGCGGATTCCTTTGAAAATTTTCAGGAATTCGCTACGCACTACGGAGAAAATTCACCGAAATTTGCACGAAAACCCGCACAACCGTTTTCATGTTAAAAATTAAATTGCCCAATCAAATTTGTCAATTGCTGATGTGGCTTGGTTCCTTTCTGTTCAACGCGATCCAAATAGACCTTGCTCAGAAGAAAAGAACCAGGCCACATCAGCCATTGCCAAATTCAGTTGTTTATACAAGAAGACGCTGGTGATGATTCCTTTGATAATTTTAAGGAGTTTGTTTCGTATTATGTAGAAAATTCACAGAAATTTGCCAAACAAATCCGCGAAACCTTGTTTACGTAAAAAATTAGATTGCTTAGTTACATTTGGCAGTAGCTAATGTGGCTTGGTTCGTTTCTTTACACAATGCGGTCCAAATAGGAGATGTAAGAACGTCTGAAGTGGATCAAACCGGACGACTTTACGCAAACAGGATCGGTCAAGGATAGGAGTTTTAATTACATACAAGTCTGACGGACTCGGATTTTTTAGATTCAGAATTTCGTCTTTTGAATTGAAGGACAGAAAATAGAGGAGGTGGAAGTAAAAACAAAGCAGGAAGCTCCAACGCATTGGCGTCGGAGAGCGGCTCTGGGGGCAGTAGTTGTAGTCAAGAATGAGGGCCTAGACACATTTTGTCATTGATGTACAATCCGACAACTGTCGATTCATGTTTTGTAACTTAGCAGATTTACGTAGCCGGTGTATAAATGTGTATTGGGCTTTGATATGGCGAATACATGGCATTATCACTTGTTGTATACTTTTAATTTTGAAAGCTCTTTGGAGGTCCGCTTCCTAAAAAATCTCTGGTTGATAAGTCGTTTAGCGAGGCTGCAAAAAATTTGCATTTTTATATCTGAAAGTGTAGGTATTGGTTTTTTGTATAATTGTTTTTTTGGATTGCTGGAAAAGTAACGCATACTTCTATAATTTAGGACTGAGTCAGGGAAATATAAGGTTCGTTAAATAGTAAATATTCCTAGTACCGTGTGACACTATTGTTAACGAAAAGTTTTTGCAATTTGTCAAAGAGGTTGTTGAATGATCTTCGAATAACTTTTGATGAGCTAGAGGTAATGGTTCTATCTGCAGCTCGTGGACTTCTGTACGATATTGTCCAGAATCATCTGAATTTTCAAAAAGTGTCCGCTTGTTCGATACCCAATTTGCTCATTCATGCATACAAGGAGAAGCGCATGAAAGCTTTAGCAGACATTTTGGAGATGAATCAAGAATTAGATGAAGAATTTATGACTTAAATCACGGCACCTTAATCACGGGATGACCTTAATTACGGCAACTATTTATTGTCCATGAGATGCAGATGGTTCCATTTCCCTAGCTCATCAAAAGGTATTCGAAGATCAATTTCATCAGCCACCCGTACGAACCACGTTTCTAGTGACCCGTACTTGCTTCGCACGTATGAAACATACAATCAGAGAAAACAGAATTCATCTTACAATAATCAATAATCAGTAGGACATGAATCGTTGCGATGTATAATACGACATTATAATGCGGCATTACTATTGTAATTCATTTTAATGGATTAGGGGCATTATAAATCATTATTGCCACGTCGGAATGAAATGTTGTAGACTGAATTGAAAAGCATGTAGGCAAAATTTATTATAAAAATAGTATAACATGTAGGTACATAACATAAAGGTAATACAAATTAAATGATTAGAGCGTGTATATTTCATTACATTATAGGTATATTACAATCATTTTTGTCATTGTTGGAAATTTTGATAGTTTGAAATTTGATAGTTGATAGTTGATAGTTTGAGAGTTGAAAATTTGGTTATTTTATTTAGTTAAGGTGATTCGATAGACGCCATATTTTGTGTCAGAATGGCATGCGACGTATCCCATCAATTGGTTCCATTTTTTCATTTACTCATCATTTTTCTCCAATTTTAAGTTTCGCAATTCTGTTTTCAGGAGACTAAAGCACTCACTTATCAATTTGTATATTTATATTGAGTTAAGGGTAGAGACGTATTCCTCACCGGAATTGAGGAATGGAGGTGTTACAGTAAGTCCGGCATTAGGTTCCATTTCGACATCAGCGACGATCAACGCTACGATACTGGAAGCCAGTCTTCCGATATTAAATCCCTAGCGGGGAAGAAAAAAATGCCTAGATTTCGCTAAAAATCCCTAAATCCCCAGATTTGCTCAAATATACTTAAAAAATCCCTAGATTTTGCAAAAAGCGCCATTTTTAACGAAGAATCATGATGTCATTCGATGTAGCGATTTGCAATATTTAAATCTGATTGGCTCGTTGAATTTTGGCGCTCTCTGAAAGCAGTGCTAATCCAGACCAATAAAATGAAAGAATATTAGTTGATTTCTTATTATTAACAGGTTGAATGCAGTTGAATGTCAAGTACATCGAAGGACGCAATCGTTTTAATTTCCGGCTTATTTGCGGGGAAAATAGTGTTGCCAAAAAGGCCTACAAAATATAGATGAAAAAATGTTTTCGATTGTCGAAGCTAGAATTGAGGTTAAAAAGTTGATTTTTGGTAACTTTACCTCATCAAAAAAAAATCCCTAGATTTCCTGAAAAATCCCTAAATCCCTGGAAATTCCGGAAAATCCCTAAATCTAGGGATAAACCCTTAGACATCGGATGGCTGTTGGAAGCATTAGAGTCAACATTTGAAACGCTGCTGCAGAATTTGCCGGGAGTATAATCGAGTGTTGAAAGTCAGTAGAATTGAACAATGTAATAATTGCTTTCCGAAATAAGCGTTATAATAAAAAAACCACGAATCTGAACTGTTAATACTGGAACACACCTTCTGTAAATGTACCTTGCGAGAGATAAGTAAAAAAATAGATGTACTGGAGGAGAAGTGCTTCTCCACAGAGTTTGAAGAAGGAAAAAAAATGCCCAAATTTACTTACTTCAGCATTTTCGGCAAAATCACTGCAATTTCCGAACCTTTTTCTGGCCAGGGGCCAAAATTAAATGATTATGAAGGGCCACTTAGATGTTGTAGATAAAAATAGGACTGTTGAAAAAGTCGCCGTTTTCAATAAATATGTTCCCGGAATGGAAAAAACAGCTCACAAATAAAAGCAAATTGCCATAGAAACTTCTTCACGAAATCACACACACAACGAAGAACGAGGCGCTACAGACGAGTCCGTCCAGGACAAGTTAAAAAATTCCCATGAGCCGAGTGCCGTAGGTTAAGGGCCCGTTCGCCAAAACTAATCGGAACTGTATGAATGAATTGCTCCTTTTAAAAATCAAAACAATATCGAATTGCGATATATTACACAGTTAAGATAGGGCTATGTCCTGTCGTAAGCGGCGACATACAGTCGATATCATTTCAATAATCGCCCCAATGGCCACGATAGTTGTTAGACGTTTACGGTTTCCCTGGTAACCTTTGTTTGCTATCAGCTGATATCGAGTAATTAACTAGGAAGCTCCAACCCAGTGGTTAAAGCTTCCTTAACCGCGAAAACTTTAAAATTCAAATTTTCAAATTTTGAACGTAAAGTACATTTTTTCCATCACGAGATAAAAGCACAAACAAGTTTTGAATTATTGACTGTATCACCATGATTCCAAAAATACAATACACAACATAGCATTGACTAACAATAAAACAGTATGCAATAAAATAAAGTCATGACAAGGAACATAGCCGAAAATGGCGCCGATTCCCATCAACCAACGCGCGGTCTCTACAATGTAACATGCTGCATTGATACTCCCCAGCTGGGACCGTCCGGAATAGCAGCTCTAGTGCAAGCACCAGAGCCGCTAAAAGAGAAATAGAAGAATAAGGAAGAAAGAGAAGGAGGAGAAAAAAAGGAAACAAGGAAAAGAAAGGGGGGAAAATATATTCTTCGTCTCCTTGCAGGAACGGGGTTACAAATAATAGAAGTAAGCCATTTTTAGTAAAATTTTTATTGAAAAATATGTATGAAATTTTGCTGGATCACATTTATGATCATAAAAAAATCAAGAAAACTATTTTAATTCTGAATGCACTTAAACTGATTTTTTAACACTGTAAAAATAGAATAACGTTTGAAATTTTAGGTGACAATTTATGAAAGTTGAGTTAGTTTCACGCAAATCACAGGATGCATTTCCTCAACTTTCTTTTTTTAATTCGGTAATTTTTCGATATTCTTCAAAAGTTTGATACTATTGCTATCTTGCTATTTATATATTGATTAACTTTATTCAAAGTAGCATTTTTCATTTGTTTTGCTGTCTGTCAATATAAATCATTTTGAACATAATAGTTATCATATGAAATTTACAACGTATATCTTGCATTCTGTGAAGATGAAGATATTTGTTAAAGGAAAATGATTGAGTTTCTTTTTGAGCATTAGTTTACAAAAGCATATAAAAGCTGAACACTTAAAGGGTCTTAACTAAAAATCCTAAAAACACTGGACTGTTCATTTCACTAATCCAACATAATTTTCAAGTCTAGAATCATAAGTATTTGTAGATATGGCTTGGTAAACTCATCCATCCCGTGAGGCGAGTTTCAGTGGTAAAAATGCTATATTTTAAGTTAGGCCTTCATCTTTGCCTTGCCACAAAGGCTGAACAAAAAAAAAAATTAAAAACAAACCGAAAAAACGGAATAACACACAACCCAATCGAAGGCATTTTTTGCTTCATAAAACCTTCATTTGAAATTTTGTGAGCTGAACTGATTCACTCTTCGAAAACTTCAAATTCAAGCTTCCCGTCAACATCGTTCAGTTCTTTGGATTCAAATTTGGCAAAAATCGCCGATTGACCCGCGGACCTGGGTATGAATTTGAATGATATTTGAGCTTGCTGGTTAACACCGATTGACCTGTTGAAAAAAATGCAGTTGAAAAATTAGCATTTTACGTATCTCACGTACACTGAGAAATGGTTAATTTTTTTAAACTAATTAAAAATGATAAGAAAGAATGTAAAGATGTGTTTGAAACATTTAATTTTTGGATTTAATCGAAGTTTTCTCATTTCATCAATAACGTTTTTAACCAATTATTGCTGTGGAACTAAGCAAAGTTCAGAAGTTTTCGGAATCGAAATTTTTGAGGCTTAAATTTTAGGTTCTTCCTTTTAAATGCTAGGTTATAAGTCGCTCTCAATCTATTGTTTCGGTAAGTCACTCATATTAAACATCTTTTTTGTTTTTAAAGTATAAATTTATTTTTTTCCGTAAAAATATAACTTTTATACACGCAAGTCCGGCCAACATATGAGTTTGCTAAGCCACTAGAAGTACATCCTCGTCTAAATTTTCAGCACTTACTTTGAAAAAAAGATCCTCTTTGGTGGCTAAACAACTTTTCTACACTAGGAAAAAAACACGTTGGATCTAGAGTCCAGACTCTTAAAAACATCGACAAGAAAAAACACTCTTAACTCAACCCGATTTAAGCTTAAATCAAGAACCAAGCCACTTAATTTGAGCGGATTTCTTTTTGATTTCAGGTTAAATCTGATTGAATCAAGAGTCCTTTTTCTTGCCAATGCTTTCAAGAGTCTGGATTCTAGATCCAATGTGTTTTTTTTTTCCAGTGTAAAGTTAGTAATAGCGATAACTGATCATTTCAATTACAAAGGAAATACAACACAATTCAGCTTGAATGTAAAAGCTCACCTTTTCAGTTTGTACTTGATTGGCTTCAGAGCCCCAGGTAGGTCAATGAAAAAATTACATTTATTGAGAGTCACAGGCAAGGGATTAGCTATTCTTGCAGATGCTCTGCAAACAACGCCTTTCGTTGCTTTCCCATATAGCTGAAACGAAGCGAAAGTGAACTATCAAACATTTGATCTATCAATTGCATTCTGAAAAATTTGATGTTTTGTCGACATTAGCATGTCCTTATCTTACAATTAAATACCAATAAGACGCCTAGAGAAGATATATATGTAAGATGCGTCTGGTGACTCCATCATTTAAGTAATAAACTTTTGAAAGAAGGAGGAAAAAAATAATGACCAGAATACTCGGGGTCGGCTAAATTAATATTTGGTCCGATCTTGCCATGACATCAAAAGATATTAAGCTATAGTGGATTAAATAATGAAAGACGCATGCAGTCTATTTTTGTGTATAGAAGTACTGAAATTGAAATTCAACTGTTTTGTAATAATCAACACATCAGTTTATTTCAATGAAAATATTTTCTTTGAGGGTTGAAACTCAAAGTTAGTCCTAAATTCATTGATCAATACGAAATCAGTTTTTTATTTTTAATTTCTTAGAGATCAAGTGAACATTTCTGAGAGTAAATATTTCTAATTCTCTATCCAATGCCTCAAGTAAAATGATTTTTAATATTTCTCCGATTTATTGCGTAAGCTGTAGATGTGACTCAAAATTATACCTCTGAATTTGTCATATTTCTTTCGAAAAAAATGTACATAAAATGACTAACCTCTAACTCGATGTCTGGTTTTTTAACCCTAAAATTCGTCGTATCCCAAAATTCATAATCACCATTGATTACTTGGCATAAGCAGTTAACTTTAAAATCAGCTTGTCCAACAAGTTTGTCTGCATACTCATCATAACTTGCCTGAATTGCAAATTCTTCAACTGAAACATTTTAAACGCATTTTACGTTTCTCGTAAAGTCCAAATATATCATAAATAAACAAAGTAAAAAAGTATATTATCATAAGTGTTTTTATTCGTGATGTAATGCAAACAATATCATCCATTTTCAATGTACTGATAAATAAAAAAAAAACCACAAAAAACATATTTCCCTTCGTATCAACAGCACAGCACGGCTTTTAAAACACGGAAAAAACATGTTACATACAAACATCATTTTGTCAACTTGAAAGAGGGACATCAGACATGCATATGTTTTGGTAAAATTATCTTAGAATGTCACCTCTTTCAGAAAAAAACAAGTAAGAACAAGAAAATAATTGAAAATCTTCAGGAATAGTGCTCGCGTTTAGTGGAGTGAAAGAAGCAAACTTCGGAACAGGATATGTTAAAAAAGGAAACATTCATGAAATTTCTGTTTGGATCAGCATATTGTTTGTCCTTGTGTGGCCTCTTCCTCCCTCATATACACTCTACAGCTATTTCACTTCATAAAAATAACAAAATTCGAGGAAAGTCATCGTTGTTACAGCTCAGTTAGGGATTTAAGCGTACTGAAAATCAGTCAAGCATTGAATAATAATTGGAATGTTGAGAGTATCATGAAAAAAATTGAAAATATAATTTTTTAAAAAAATAGTGAACATATACTTCGGCCAAACAAATGCCTTGAGACAGAATACTTGCGGCAATCATCACAAGTTGAAACTGATCTCTGATAACAGTCGTATCGTTTCGAGACTATAAAACGCCCGAAATCAAAAGGGTAGGCAACAAGTTACACGCGAGTGAATTGAATGTCGGAACCTCAGGAGGTCTTTGCTACCTCTGCTGAGTATCGTATAACCGCTTCCACCTTCACCGTAGTGCTTCACCATTCTAACTAATACGGAACAGTGCAGGAATTACTATTTTGAGTAATATTTTAAGTTTCAATGTTGTATAAAAATATATACCCTCTGCCGGCTTCAGAAGAATCATAGCCTCCCTCTTTTTGACTGGATATGCAGCTCGTCCATCGTAGGAACTGGTGTCAACTCGAATAACAACTTTAATTTCATAGCGATTGTCGCTTTGATTCGTCATTCTAACTAAGCTCCTGAAAAAAAAACAAGAAAAAAAAATGAAACTTTACTCTACAACTGTAGATTAAGGATTAAAAATGTAAGTCAGTTTATGGATTTTAGGAACTCGTTTAATTTAATATCTTATAGTTTCGAAGATTTCAAATGTTTATACAAGATACAACCATCTATGACAAAAATTTGCGTATTTTGCGAAACCGGATTACGTAATGACCGTGTAAGGGCAGTAGTCAAGTATGAACAATTCAAAGTGAATACAGACAGGATAAGACGTTTGAAAATCATCAATTGCAGAATAGCGTTGTTTGAATCAATCTGTATCTACTGGGGACTATAAAGCGCCCGAAATCACGCGGGTAGGCAAACAAGCTTACACACAACCAGTGCTTGTTCCAGTAACACCACAGTGAGGCAGTAGTGTTGCCTAATAAAACGCGGTACCAATATACTTTTCAACCAATTAATGAATTGGTAAAATTCTAACGTATGCATGAAGCATGAAGTATGTGCAAATGTCCTACTGTAATGATTTTTGAAATCTAATTGAAAAGAGATTGGAAAATTAAAAATTATGACCTCCCAACTCTCCTATCTATTTTCCGCTCTTTACCCTTTTTTGAGGCAATTGTCACCTCGAGTTTTTAAAATCAGGACTTTTTTAATGGGTTTTATTTTTGATGGTCTTTGGAGTGTTCTTCCATTTTTTTTCCATGCATGATTCATAAAAAATTCCGTTTGCAAAAATTTAATACTCACGTAAAAGGTGATCCAATAATTACACTTTCATCCATTAGTAACTCGAACTTGACGTCCGTAAAGGAAAAGTTATTCAAATAATATCTACTGAATTGGGATTCACACTGCTTCAATGCCTTTTCGAAAGTAGATCGCTCATTTTTTGTTCCTGCGTTTCAAACATAAATTACACCATTTGTTCCATTCAATTTTCAGTATCACGCTCAAACTTGTAAAATATTAAACATACCATGCGATGATAGTTATGAAGTTTTAACAATTTTTATCTTTTTAGTGCACACACTGTGTACATTTTAATATGGTTTGAGATTTTATTCATTCTACTGTAGAGAAAAAAGTCAAGTGTTCGATGAGCGCAGAAAACTTCAATATATAATATTGTCCAATCATGATTCCAATCTCATCAGTAGAATAATTTAAACCGCAAGAAATTATCCTTGTCTTTATTTTTCCATTATATTTCAACTTTCATTGTTGATATATAATAAATTCCAGCTAATGATTCCTGATTATGAAAGGAAATAATGATTCAATATAGAACTTCTTTCATCATGAAACATTTTATCACTTGAAAGTGGCTTTAAACGGAATATGAAACAGCCTATTTATGCTGCAGAGAATATTACCACGTTTCACCTATCTGGCAACTGTATACTATCATTGATTTATACATGTATTATGAATGCATGAAGTGTGTTCAAATGTTATCTCTGCTCCTTGGAAATTCTGCTACATTCTAACACTAATATGTTGTTTTAAAATTTTGATATCGCGTGATAAATATAATGATTCACGGTTATTTAAAATAAATACATAAATAGCCAGGTGTTCACTTTATATTTTGATACTGGGAATGACAATAACTTACTTTCTGGGTGTTTATAATGATGAGTTATTTCCTTCAAGGCCCAAGAATCGACAGCTTTTGTACAAATTAGGACACCAACACTGTAAAGAACATAAAAATCAAAAAGAATTAATATACTGGCACAATGTACTCTCTCGGTTTTAATTTGTCTACGATGAATGTTCAGGGAAATATTTAGACAAATACTTTAAGTGAATTTATTTAGCAAACTCTAATGCACAGGCAAAAGAAATAATCAATTTAAGATTTTATGTCTCATGTTGTAAAATCAGAAAAATGTATGACCCTATACCTGTACTGTTGTGCACATGCTTTTCATTTAGAAAAATTCTAGTGCAGTCAGAAGCTCAAATGGAAAAAATAATTTAAGCTAAGTTGTGTCGTTTCGGCCATTTTTGAATGGGACTTTTTGTAATGAGGAACTACAATTTCGGGCCTATCCGTGAAAACATTCATGTGCGTTGGGACATTTATTAGTGCTACATACCTCGTTTCTAACCTAATAAAAAATTGCAGTTCCAAATTACAAAATGCAGTCCAATTGGGAACGTTACTATTATGTGACCTATTTGATTGTTTCCATGACCATATGACCCTCCAAAAAGTATCGTTTATTGATTGTTTCCTCGAATCACTCTCATGTGCGTACACCACCCTGTTACTTTCTAGTTTACCCTGTTACTAAGTTTTACATTTTTTTAAAATTGTATTATATTTCATCCAACTGAAGAGGGCTTTCAGGTAGACGAATGAGCATCATACATACAATCTCATACATACATACAAATCATACATACAACATATCTTACATCTCCTGTCACGCACACAGCCGTGCTAAGGAGAAACGTCATATGAACCTTCAGGCGTTGCCAAATTTCCTCTGATAAAATACGAATTCATTAGAGAATTTTTCAAAATTATCAGACTATTTTGTTCACAATTTAATTTAAAATATCTGCAAATTTTAAAGAAAAATATTCATTATTTTCGTCAAAAACATATCTTTTAACCGGGGAGCGTCGAGAACACTCGAATGTTCATACGGCATTCTTCCTTAGCACTGCAGTACAGCGGTGTTTTTTCCTTTGGTTTTATGTACCGTATCCTACACCTCATCCTAACTATTATAATACTGATGTAAAAACGCTTACTCTGTGACATTTTTATTGAGGAGCTTGAGAAAATTATCACTGAGTTTCCATGTGAGTTTATCGGCATTGACCTCCGCGAAAACGAATTTGCCATCGTACGCCTTGAGGACTTCCCCGTCACGGATGGCGAGAACTGAGGTGGGCCCCACCCTGTAGACGCCTTGACTCCTTTCTTGAGGTGTCGAATCAATTACCTGAAATAGGAAAGCTCACAGTGAAAACAATGAAACGGTTTGTCGCCCCTCGTCTCTATTTCAACGTGAGCCCTGAAAAGCATTAAGTGATATGGAGAACAGAGCTCATGTGGAAATTGAGATAATCCCTTACGTCAGAGGGGCGATGGTATGTGTTACACCTCGTGGATATACAAGTGACTTCAATGAAGACACTGATGTTAAATAATTTGAGATCCAAAGCAGCCGGTGCGATGATTCATTGTATGACGGGGTCATTTAATAAGATATGCTATCGCCACCTTCTGTCCAGTATCACAGGCGCAATGCGACGTATCAAAATTTCTACCGCCATTTATTTTTTTACAGAGGATTTGTTGGTCAAATTTCACTGAATTTTCTTTGTGCTGCCGATAAAATTCAGTGAAATTTGACCAACAAATCCTTTTTTTTGTGCTGCCGATTTTCTTTGTGCCAAAATTTTCGAAATTTTCTTTGTGCTGCCGATAAAATTCAGTGATATTTTTAAACAGATTCAACCAAAAATTTCTCTATAAAAAATAAAATGGCGGCGGAAATTTTGATACGTCGCATGGCGCTTGTGATGATTTGGCTAGAAGGTGACAATATATTGATTTCAGCATTAGCAAGTTCCAGAATTGCTACATCGTTGAAACATCGTCCAGATCTCTGAATTGTTGCAATTAAGATACATATTTACCCTTTAATTGTGGTAAAAACCAAGCGGAGACCGTCAAAAGAAATGACTCTTGGTCCTAGTTTGGCGGCCGCACTATTTGGCGCAATGCTAGAAGTATTCCTGCAGTCTTGAAGGCGCGGATATGAGTTTGACGCTGGCCGCACTCGCGATTATTCGAACTTGCGTTAGAATAATTGTGGCATCGAACAATGAGGCTTAAAAGGCATGGTTGCGTTTCGACGTCGCATGAGCATTCCAAAGTTGCCTTGTTTCTCCCGATAAAATATTTTTTCCGAGAAAAGTTAGTAAATTTTTCTAGATTCGCTTTTTTAAATTGAATGGAACATTAAAGACGGTACGACTTTAAGCACTCTGAAACATTATACGTGGAGAAGAAAAATTAAGATGCTTTTAAACGAATTGCGTTTAGTATGGCAGGGAGTTTGCTTCTGCAACGTCTCAAAAGGAAATCCATGGCCTATCTCTTTGGTCATCGGTTTGTTTATATCTCGTTCAAAAGTCGTTATCCGAACTTCCCGTTGTGTGAATATAGTTTATTTAAGTAAAATTTTGAAGTACGCTTTAACCGTAATTCCATCACTCACGGCGATTTCCACGACGAAAAACACCAAAGGCAGTCAAATTATCAGCTGTCGAAAAGGAAAGCGCCCGTACATAACAAAAAACCGCGCAATTCCCGACGGGACGAACGGGATAACCGTTCTTTTAAAGGGCGCCAGAGGTGGATCCAGTAATTTGGCAACAGGTTTCCTCCATTTAAACCTATGCTATATAATCGATTCTTGTCGGAGCACCTGGCCCCCTATGAATCGATAAATTTCCATAGGTTTAAGTGCAGGAAATTCGGTGTTGCCAAATTGCTGGATCCGCTGGATAAAGGGCGCAAGGGGCGCGGGGCCCGCCGCGTGATCCCTCTGTTTTTCCCGCCATCGGGGAACCGGGACGGTCAAGCTGGTACAACCTGACTCCCCACTGAATTTTGACCCGAAGGATAGGGCTTACGGAACTATATTAGTGGCTCATATAAAACACCGCTAATAGTCGTAAATGTACCAATGATTCTCGGTCTGCGAACCATACGAAGGTATGTATACCATCACTAAGGTTTATGTACTACTATTCTATGTTGCCTTTACTACTATTAGTTGTGTTCACTGGAGAAAAAACACATTGGATCTAGAGTCCAGACTCTTGAAAACATTGACAAGAAAAAGGACTCTTGATTCAATCAGATTTAAGTTTAAATTAAAAGGAAATCCGCTCAAATTAAGAGGCTTGGTTCTTGATTTAAGCTTAAATCTGATTGAATCAAGAGTATTTTTTCTTGTCGATGTTTTTAAGAGTCTCGACGCTAGATCCAATGTAGTTTTTTTCCAGTATTCCATATGAACCAATAATTGATTTATAAGCGATAGCTTTTTCTCAGTGCGGAATTAGAGGAGTAAAAAGGTCACTATCTCGTATGTTTTACATATAACCTCAGTGCGTTTCTAGAGTGTTGTATACTGACATTTTTGACATTGAGGTGCGGTCTTTCAGCATCTAGGTTGCTAAATCATGTCCTAGAGAAGACATAATGGGTAATTTTTCCAAAAAACGTCCAATAAATGTCGTAGAATCGTAAAGAATATTTGGTAAGAATGTCAATGGAATGCGTGTTTTTACTTTTTTTACCATGAATGAAATACAAGCGGAGATCCTGTAAAATTGGAACCGAGAAACGTATTTTTTGCACCCAACCCTTAATTTTTTAGTTTTAATATTTCTTAGTTGATGCTTCTTAATATTTCATATATTCCGTAAATTACATACCTGCCAACCATCATAACCTTGGCCACCGTTGAGATCCGGCCTCTTCATCCACACTTCATTCCAACAATGAAAATTCCTGAAAAATCAACGGAAAAGAGCATTAGGTCACCAGAGTAACATAGCAAAAGTTGACCAAAATCGGCTGTCCGCTGAGGCCAGATATATATTAGCGCCTACAAGAGTGCAGGTATACTTCATGCATTGCGCTTAACACAATGCTGTCGCTGGTCGGTTCGAAAATATTATTATTACTCTTGATTACTCTATCCGTCATATGAATGTTCTTAGGGTGATGTAATTTGCTATTGCGACGTTTTCCTATTTAAACTTTATAATTAATTAAACTAACTTTTTCTGAGTTTTTTCGTTTTTCAGAAATTGTACTTTTTTTTTTACATGAACACTTGAATTAAGATCGTCCATGGGAAAAGGGAAGTCATTCTGCAAAAAAAAAAACTTGCAATGGAGCTATTTTTGTCTATTTGGATTGAAAAATCAGTTTCCGAGATTTCGGTCGAAAACTCTCCTTAGTATTCGGAAGAGAATGAGTTATTAGTGAGTTCGTTTATTTTTGTGCCACAAACGAGAGTAGTCACGTTGCATTATGGTTTGGCATTATCGCACGCATATTCTAAGTATTGAGAATACTTACCAGATAGAATCTCTAGAGTAATTTTTGTCCACAAGCCCGTCCTCGGTTACAACCGTGTCCACAGTGAGACTTCCATCAGTGTCATGGGCTGCATTGTAGCACGTGATAGTCCGGGTCGGTAAACCAAGTGTCCGACACACTGCAAGTTACATAAATCATCGATTATTAAATTAAGAGAATGACCCTTTAGCACATTGCATCAAGCTCTAAAGAAATATAATATTGGTATTTGGAGTGTAGCCGAGTGTTAGAAATAATGTAAAATTTTCTTTAAAAAACTTACATTTTATTAACAAACTTACACTGAAGCTTTTCGAAGCAAACGCTTCATCGTCAGGGAAATTGCATTTTTTTTGCATTTGCAGGAAAATTTTACATTATTTCTAGCACTCGGCTACACTCCAAATACCAATATATTTAGTGCTACTACCTTTCAGACATTGTACTACAATGTTTGCTGATTTTGAAATATAATAGACGAACAATTAGGATGAGAAAATACCGCTGACTCCTCGTTTCCTTTTCAAAATTTTGTTTATAACATAAAGGAGGCATTGAAAATCAATTATTAAATTCAGCTGATGAAGAGAAATTAGCGTTTTCTTTGTTGGGGAATGCAGCTCTAGTATGGTTCCAGGATTTGTGATGCAAGTATTTTTCCTTGTGCGAAATTTTGCATTAAATACGATAGTGCCACTGTTTTCCTCTAAAATCGACTCCCAAGCTCAAAAAAAGCTTTCAAAGTTCAGGCCATAATAGATGCCATGTCCCGCGCTACGTTGGGAGTTCATCTCTAATAATTTCGACTATGAGAATCCCGAACCACGTACCTCGGTTTCGACGTTGCAGACCTCCTGTCATTCTAATTTTTTTAAATGCAAAAAACCATCCATGTGAATTCTTAAAAGCAACTATGATTTTCCCTTTCTGTGCGGAAAAAAATCTGTGAAAACTTCAGGGAATGATTTTGATTTGTCCTCATTGAAAAAACAACAAGAACGGAGATTTTGAAACAACGCAAATGAGGGGCTTGGAGGCCATGGCGCATGAGTGCGATTTTTAAACATTTGAGATATTAATGATTTCGAGTAAAATTTGTCCCAATGCACGTTCTGTGAAAAACTCGTTCCCGAATTCCAATTTTTAAGCATCAAAAAGTCAATTCGAACTTTCTTTCCGCCATAGGGATCCACGTAATATCGAAGCCTCAAAAACATGTTCCTCGAAATAGCAAAAACTGCACTTATGCGCCTTGTCCTCCAAGCCCCTCAAATGAGATGCGTGGTTTGGGGATTTTGCCTTCCATATCTGGTCAAACCCTCCATGCACAGATAGGAAGCAAATAGATATAATTAGTAGGATTGCCGTGGTTCCAGCCTTGGACAAATCAGACATTGAGCTAAAAGCCTGATTCGTCTAATTGCCTGCGACATGTAATTTCTTTCCGTTCTTCGAAGATCCACATCCTAATTTGTATCCTTCCGTAAATGGGATGGAAAACGATACCTGTTGTGAGAACTCCAGCGAAGACCCAGCACTGGCCGTAGCGGACCGGCCTCTTGGTGCTGTAATACTTGGTTAAAATTGGGCCGCTGCTGATCCACGCCGAGGGGGGAGTTCCACCCACGAAGTTTTCGCTCCAGTTGCCTTGGACCACGCCGTTGTCGTCCACATCGTTCACCTGGGTACAATCATTGTCCAGCATTATTATTGATGATCCATGCAATTATGCAAACGACTGTTTCAACACTGAAAATGATGGATCGATCGACTAATTCAACGGGAAATTTTTTTTGTCCTCTGATGCATTGCTATAGGTTATACTGCCGTGCTAAGGAAGAATGCCATATGAACATTCGAGAGTTGCCTAATTTCCTCCAAGAGAATGTTTAATTTTGAGAAAAGTTATATGTATTTTTCCTTGAAATTTTGATGTATTTTAGATCATATTACAAACACAACTGTCTAAAATTTTTGAAGAAAAAAATTCAAAATTTTCCCGGTAAATTCGGTTTTTATCGAAGGAAAGATGGCAACGCCTGAAGGTTCATGATGATAGCATGATGATGGTCACAATGATAGCAGTATGGCATAAGCGGATCCAGGGGGGAGGGGCGTACACCCCCCCCCCCCCCGTTCGCTCGAAAAAAAGAAGGAAGAAAGAGCGAAGGATCGGAAGAAAGAAGAAGGAAAGACCCTTACATTTTGTAATTACTCATGGCTCGAACTACATGTTAGATGCTTCACAAATTCAAAAAGTTTCCGGAGGGTGACCTTTGGAGCCCCCCCCCCCCATCCGGTCGGAGATGTACGAGGATAAAAATCACCCGTCATTTTTTGCTTTTTTCTGTGTTTTCGTACTTTCCCTATTTTGACGCTTTCCTGTGAATAGTATTATAATACTTCAATTTTTTCCAAATGTTTTATATGTCGGTACACGCGTTCTGAAATATTATATACATCATTGATAAAATCAAATCTTGTGAATGTTTAGACGCTTAAAAGCTTAAATAATCATATTACGATTACTTTGCGTTGCTAAAACTTACCAGTGCAGCGAGACATCGACTAATTTCTATTGGATCAGACGCAGCAATGACATTCAACCTTTTGGCAACTGTGTTCAATAAATAAAATGCACACTCTAAAATATCAGTCTCAAATTGTGAGTAGCGCCATGGACTCGGTCTTGGTTCTCGAGCATTGCCTCGGAAAATTATGCCACTATCGTTTAGAACATACTCGCGCCTTTTCTCTTCGTCCTGCAGGTATACCTGATCATCTAATCGCAAACAAGAGAAAGAGAGCACCTATAAGTAAATTTAAAAAAATAATTCAATAGGTCAATAGGTCAAATAGATTAATAGGTCCCGGGTTCGATTTCCGGTGGTGGCGACAATATTTCATGGAACTGACTAGTGGATCCGCAGAAAGAGATTATTCCACTCGGCCTTAATCCCTGAAAATGGGAAAGCCAGGAGCATGAATGTGATGTTCATTCAAGGTTGCAGAATCCTAAAATGGATTAAAGACCTCAAATAACTAAAACAAGAAAGAAAAAAAGGGGGGATGGAAATTTCATCATGTGAATTATTATATTCCTGATCAATCAATCTTCCCAGTTTTGGACTCGACTGAGTGGATGGTCATTGGTCACGTGGGTATAGCTGCAATGAAGTCTTTCGGGAATTCATGTAATCGTATTTTCTTTTTCAGGGTGGGTTTTTACTTTTGAACACTCCATTCAATTTTGAAAAAAAAGTAAATAAATAATCAATGAAAATAATGTGTTTTTGGTCTTTGACATAGAAATTTTCTGTCTTTCTCAAAATGTCCGGGGTAGCTTAAAACTGAAATCATAACAAAGTGTAAGCTACTAGACGAGGCGTGCTTCACAGCACCTCGTTATATGTTCTGTCTTCATAAATATACGTAGAATGCGATTCAATCACACGGGAAAGCTTAGGAATCAATTCCAGAGTGAGACGGAACACAAATCAGACTTATGAAAATGAGAAATGACATCATTGGTATTTTAGCCTTCTTAAAAATTTCAATTACAAAACAGTTAAATGTTCTTGGAGAGTTTATTTACCAAAATTTCCGTCCTGTGAGTAATTTTCTGCATTAAATTTTAAAGGGGATTTCATAATACTAATAACAGAATTTTTGTATGCTTTACCTTACTACATACGTACAATAAAAATGAGGAAATCTTACCAGGACACCACGCGTTGTACAAAATATAAAATGGCGTTTTGACAGAAAACGAAGTTGGCTGGCTCGGAATAGGGCCCACAACTTTAGCATCTATTTCTAAAATCCATCGGCCGATGATGCAATCTGCTACTGGAGTCACCTGTCCCGAAAAAAAAATTCAGCGTGAATATTTTACATGAATATGAATATTATAACGTATTACTTTAAAAGATGACAGGAATATCAAGCACGCAAAATTGATTGCGTATTCTGGAGGACGCCGAGCAGATTTCTAGGGAATAAATCAGGCCCCCATCAACCCTCATACTGTCGTGCTAAGGAAGAACGTCGTATAGGCATTCGACTGTTACCAAATTTCCTCTCAGAAAATCTTTATTTTCTCGGAAAGTTATACCATTTTCTTTGAATTTTCAGAGACTTTAGATCAAATTACGAATAAAATTCTTTGAAATATTGGAGGAGAAATATTATTAAAAAAAATTCAGGAATTCGTGATTTATCTGGCAAGATCTGAAGGCTCATACGGCGTTTTTCCCTACTACGGTAGCATAGTCCCGCTGATTTTCGTCTGTGCCAAGTGAATTTTCCAAAGCAATTTTACAACTTCCTGATGAACTTGGCCCTTTTAAAGTCGACCTGAGTTCATTTTGGTTCCATATAATATTTGCGTAAGATACTTGTTATGAAAACTCATATATATACACCGCACACCGTTAAAACAGATATGGATCTGCCGATTTCACCTGAAAATCGCAACTATTTTAGGCAAGGGAACTTAAATTAAGGTTTACTCCTCACCAAGATAGAGAGTTCGTTCTCTTGTTGAACTTCTAAAACGGTCGCCCACTTTCCAACTGGGTTCTCACCCTTCAAAACGAGCACTGAATCCTCCAAAGTACCTTGCCCTTGTGATGGTCGGATAGCATCTGGAAATACCAAATCAATTTGATTAATGTCTTACATTAGAATAATGGTCCTCTAGATTTTGATGGAAGAAAATAAGACAATTTGATTGCTTATTAAGAGATGGAGCCGCATTTTAGGAACTATATGACTGGCTCCTAGTCATATTCAGACGAGCGAACGATCAAATATTTTTCCCAGAGCAAGGAATTTTCAAAACCTTCATATCAACATCAACCTTACGACTTAGTGACTTCACCAGTGCCGTAGCGATTTCGCTAGTTGACAGCATTGTTTTTCCTCCAATTAAATAAAAGTAGCAATTTTAGGTGAGACTTGCCTCACCAAGATTCGATTGTTTTACATACATTTAAATGGAAGAAAGACAGTGATGACAACTTTCAAGAAGCACCGCTAACTGCTGACTGTATGGGACTTTGACTGACAATCACTCACCCAAAAGGCTCAAACGAACCGGAATAGTTAGCTCTGTTGCTATATTTGTTGGCTCCCTACCCCTAGCCTACAGATTTACAAATGCAATTTTTCGGGGTGGAATTAGACAGCTCACTTCTCCTTCATTTGATAGGATAGGCAAAAAAGGTTCCATGACAGGCTAAAATGATGGCATCCAAAAATCATGTGAATTCCAAAACTTGCAATTGAATGATTGATATTTGGGTTTGAATAGGTACTTTCAACTTTGTGATAGGTTTTACAAACGAGATTTTTAGGGAATAAAAAGCTGAAATGAGGGATCTGGAAGACAGGTAGCCCAACTGCAGTTTTTTTTTTTAAAAATTAAGACATTAATGATTTTATGTAAAATTAGTCTCAAAATATACGCCGTAAAAAATTCACCACTAAAATTCAATTTTCAAGCATTAAAAAGTGAGTTTGAACTCTTGTTTCGTCATAAGACTCCATGTAATTTTGAAACTTTTAACACTTATCTTTTGAAATTAAAAAAACTGCACTTATGCGCCCTGTCCTCCAAGCCCCTCAAATGTGCTTTAATGCTTCATGAATCTGTTTTCTGTCAAAAATTTGAAGTGATACAAGTATTGTGACAAAATTTCTATAACTCGATGTTTGTTTACTCCCACTTTTTTAATTCACTGTAAGATTCCTGTTCAAGTTGAAGTCTACGTTACAATGACTATATTTGGACTGAGTTAAGCAGAAAGGAACCAACCCACATTATGGAAAAAATTGAGTTATGAGTGGTTTTGAACTCAACCACTGCTCTACTCTCTATCGTCAAAAATTCTAAGTTTTTGTTGGAGCAAATTTTGCAGAAATTGAACTTGAAGTTTATCTTTTACATTGAGTCTTATGCAGGAGCTAAACTTTAAACCTCTTTTTCTCGGTTCGATCCCGATGTGGCTTGGTTCCTTTCTGTTTAACTCCGTCCATTTGTGCTTTAGCTCCAACCCACCGACGTGGAAGAAATGAAGAGTAATGGCGTCATTGTTCGGTGAAAATGGACGATTCGTGATGACTTTGATGAGGAACGGAAAACCACGACGCACCACTAACTGACGGTACTTGGTCTCTCGTTTCATGAGGTCATACTGGTCAGTGAAGTGTTCGGCGCCATTCTCTGGATGGCAGAAGTCCACCCCCGTCACAATCAATAAATTGCTGTCGCGCGCCCCACCTGAAATCAGAAATAATTTTTCGTTCAGAGGAAGTATGTTTAATGGTAACGACATACTAATATGACTTTATTTATCCATATTTTTCTAAACCGAGATTTGCATCATTATATAAAAATGTGACTATCCAAAGAGAGAGGGAATTTTATTTCATAAATTCAAAATTGACTCACTGATAGCAAAGCTCAAAGATAGACTAAAGCGTGGAGACGAATGTCTCGCATATAAGGGGGAGTGGAGGGCGCCTGAAAAGTCGAACCGAAGCGAAGTTTTGGCACTTCGCCAAATTCGGCAAAAAAATCATAATCTAAAACTCCACTAATGGGGCCTGTGGCCGCTACGCGCTCTATTTTCTTTTAATGTCAAAAAAAAATTAAATATCATCCGAATTTCTGAATCGTTAATATGAAGATATGTATTTTCCCTTTAACCATGGTAAAAACTGGAGCAGAAAATAAAAAATGATGACACGTAGTCCTACACTGCCGTGCTAGGACAAAACGCCCTATAAACCTTAAGGCGTTGCCAAATTTCCTTTTATAGAATATGAATTTATTGGGAAAGTTTTAAATAATTTTCTTCTAATTCTTCAAACAATTTTCTTCGTAATTTAATCTACAAAATCTGAAAATTAAAAGGAAAAATTAGCATAATTTTCCCCTAAATGTTCGTTTTATCAGGAGAAATTCGGCAACTCTCGAATGTTCATACAGCATTCTTCCTTAACACGGCAGTACAGCATTCCTACAGTCTTGTAGGCGCGAATATGGCGTAATGCGAGAAGTATTCATGCAGTCTTGTAGGCGCTAATAAGGGCTTTACACCGATCGCACAATTTGGCGCAATGCGTGAAGTATTCCTAGAGTCATGCAGGCGATAATATACGTTCAAAGCCGGTCACACTATTCGGCCCGATTATCCCTACTCGCGTTAGAAAAATTTCAACGCCGTATAAGCATTCCAACGTTGCATCATTTCTTCCGATTAAATATTTTTACCAAGAAGAGTTAGGAAAGTTCTTTATACCCATGACCCTCATTCAATCTTTTCACTTCATTTTTCATCAGAGGGTAAGATCGATGACTTGTCAACAAACTAACCTAAACTTACGTTAACATAAAAATGCGTTTATTTTCCAACAGTTTCCTGTTTTGCCAAACTTCTACCATAAATTAACTTTATTTGAAGTTCGCGCATTCCTGTAGCAGATGTTAAGAATTCTATTCGCACAATCCTTGTGGCTTTTTCGCGCAATCCTCATAGATTATCTTAGACCTTTCGCGCAATCCTGAATTGCCGACTCCAAGCTGCTATGTCCTGGTCTTTAAAGTTGTCAGATTATAATGCAGCTTTATTTCATCTTTTAGCACGAGAAGAAACTAGACTACTTTACTGTTCAATTTTTCTAAGTATTTGGTAAAAATCTCTAAACACGCTTTTTGACCTAATTTGACATTGATTGCCTCAATTTTTCCTCGGTGTACCGAGACCTTTTCTTTCGCGGACGGTCACATATCTTAGTCTTTTATACTGCCGTGCTTAGGAAAACCGCCGTATGAACATTCGAGAGTTGCTAAATTTCCTCCGATTAAATGTTTATTGTTGAGGGAAGTTATGAATATTTTCCCTTGAAATTTTCAGATAATGGAGATGTTGCATGTGTAAGGGATTTGCGATTTGACTATTGATTCTTATGTAAAAGTTCGCGAGAAACACGATGGTGCCACTGGTTTTCTCTGAAATCATCTCCCAAGCTCAAAAAAAGCTCTCAACTTAAGGCCAAAATGGAGGGGATATCCCACGCTATCCTGAGAGTTCACTCCTACATCAAAACAAACTCTCCATGCAAAGATAGGGAGCAAATACATTAGCAGTGATGCCCTGTTTTTGGTTTTGGAGTCCCTAAATAAAGTGGAAGCCCTGTCAATGTATTGGCTCCTTATCTTTGCATGAAGAGTTTGTCTTGATGTCGAGGTGGACTCTCGGGATAGCATTGGATATCCCCTCCATTTTGGCCTCAAGTTGAGAGCTTTTTTTGAGCTTGGGAGATGATTTCAGAGAAAACCAGTGGCACCATCGTGTTTCTCGCGAACTTTTACATGAGAATCAACTGTCAAATCGCAAATCCCTCACACATGCAATAATATCTTCATTCTAAGAAACATGCTCACAGAATCCCCTGAAAATTCATATTTTATCAAAAGAAATTTTGCAACGCCTGAAGGCTCATACGGCGTTCTTCTTTTGCACGGTAATATAATGTAAAATCATAAGTGTAACGCTTGATGAATAACGCCTGTTACGCTAAGCGCTTCAAGGGGTTGGATCCCGAGGCAGTCAGGGGGCGTACCCCTCACTTATATTGATTCCGATACATACATTAGAAAAGATAACCATCCGTCACCACTTCTCTATCCCTGCATCCCACTCAAAATAAGTTAGAGACTTCATTACGCAACTTTTCCGGTGTGCATTTCAGGTCTGCGAGTTGCATCTCTGTGGTCGCTCAGAGGCTGCGACAAGGTATTGTTACAACTGCAAGCGGCTAGGTGGTGGCGTTGCGTCGCTTTGACTACTGTCCGACCGACATCGCGTCAATCATAACGTATCAAAGGATGCCGGATGGCAAAATAATGATAAATTGAGTCTCTTCATTGAAAAAAAAACACATTGGATCCAGAGTCCAGACTCTTGAAAACATTGACAAGAAAAAATACTCTTGATTCAATCGGATTTTTGCTTGAATCAAAACGAAATCCGCTTAATTTAAGAGGCTTGGTTCTTGATTTAAGCTGGATTCTGATTGAATCAAGAGTACTTTTTCTTGTCGATGTTTTTAAGAGTCTGGACTCTGGATCCAATGTGTTTTTTTTCCGTTCGGGTAGAGTATATTTCACCATCCCGAAGCCCCACCCCCTCCCTCCGGAAGTAAAGAGAGGCCGTGACTTCGAAAGTTGAGGTTTTCGTCATCGTTTTGAAATTATCTAATCAGATTCAAGACATGCGGAAAATTTTACCCCAGTTGGATTCAAAGAATTCCAAAATTGGTCCATTCCTGTTCGAACTATTCAACTCGCTCTAAAGACAGGGGACAAAGCTTTCCTTTTTCAAATTCAATGTTCCTAAATTAACGTAGAAGCGTGATAAAAATATGTTTTCCTGGGCGATCGATTACAAATAGTCTAAATTTGACAGTCTTGAAGCCCCCCTCCCCACCCCATACATTTGCTGCATGATGTGACACAGAAGGTCCGTAATTTTGTAAATTGTTCAAGTTTAGGGCCCCCATGCATCATACCAGCAAATGTTTGAGGAACTTTGAAACCGTTGAAGTCGGATCATTTGTGATCGATTCTCCTAAAAAAACATATGTTTCCCGCGCCTCTATATCAATTAGGCTACACTGAATTTTGAGGAGGGGGCCATGTCCCCCGCCTTTAGGAGTCAATAGTTCGAACAGGAAGGAGTCGATTTTGGATTTCTTGGTGTTAAATTGGGGTAAAATTCTCCGTGCATTTTGGATTTGGCGTAATAATCTCCGAATTCGGACGGGATCCCCAACTTTTAAGGTCACGACGCCCCTTTTACTCCTCGAGCGAAGGTAATACGTGGTTTGGAAGTTTAACCGTCGATATGGTGCACGTAATGTAAACCATTTCCGTTCAAGATCAGTGCAAAATTGCCAGGACCTTGAATTCCTCATCGATACACCAGCTTAATACACGGTTGGGCATCGACAATAATCACCCACCTGAACCCGCACCCACTCAACGCCGGAAGCTTTCCTCGATCTGCACTGAAGTCTGGGTATTAATGGACCACTTGACAAGGTACGAATTTAAGCAATCTGATACATGTTTCGTAATTAGAATTTCACGTAGAACACGATTCGCGCAACGAAAATGACTGAAACCAACTCCTAACGGAGATATTAACATTTTTATTTCACATTGGTTACTAGGAATTTGAACTGCCCGGTCACAAGAAACTCAAAGCTCCACGTGAGTCAAATCGCGCACTACAACGGTTTCAGCAAGATTCTCAATCGAGCAATGTTCTTTTCCCACCATGTGTTTTCAAACTATGAGTAATTTGCTACAGCTGAGCCAAAGCGTCAAGATTGAGATTGCCAGATTTGTATGTTGTGGAGACTGTCATGATAACGTTTAGCGCGCGATGTGAATCACGTAGAGCATTGAGTTTTAATGAGCGGGTGGTTTGAATTTACGCACCAATAATTATTAAATATCTTCGTGAGGAATTGATTTCGGTAATTTTCGTTGTGCGCATCGTGTTTTACGTGAAATGTTGATTGAGAAACGTGTATCAAAATGCTGAAGTTTGCACCTTGTCTAGTGGTCCATTAGCGGGATTTTTACCCGGGAATCGGGCAACGACGTCGGATGTCGGTCGTATCCGTTGTCGCGCGCAGTGGCAGCGGCCCGGTTGTGCAAGTTGTGTGGGCCACGCCGCACCGCGCCACGGGGTGCGTGGGACAACCACGCCGCCGCCGCCGAAGCTCCGTCCCGGCTAAGTTTGGAGCGGCAAGGCCCGGCCAAGCAAAACGCTCCCGGCACGGAGCTTTCGCCGTTTGAAAAAAAAAAACACGCCGCGATAAACACCATAATCGCGCGTCGCCGCATTGGAAACGTTCAATCAATCCCTTCGAGCATCGTCGAGGATGATTCATTCCCATATTTGAATATGAGCGGGAGATTGAGATGTGTAACTCGTCCCGCGGTGTGCTTGATTGGGCTCCTCCTAGGATGGGACAAAGGGGATGCCCAGTAAAAGGATAGCGACATTGGATTCCCTTCATAGAGAGAGTTGAGACAACGCGGCTCATGGATGAAACGGGAATGAAAATTACACAAATTGAACGTTTTTCGTAATCTTTGATCAACTCATTCCCAAATTCCCATCTTCGTTCTCTCTCTCATTTCGCATGTTCCTCCCCTCCCCACCCCATTCCCCGGTCCATTCCAGTTTATAATCTTTGCAA